TCTCAGTTCTGAGTGCCAAGTCCTCTGGGAAGGAATCATGAATTAGGCTCCCCAGGAATCCGCAAAATGATTGTGGAAAAAGTTGCTTAGTAACATTTTGCAATTCCTTGATAGTTTAGGGATATTATTTATTAAATTCATAGATCAAGTCAAGCCCTTGGTATATTTCTACTTAAGTGACGTTGAATACGCTTGAAGAAGTCATGTGGAGTTCTTTCAGTCATGGTATTGTTTCGAGATCTGGGTGGCATGTCCTTCTCTGAACCCGAGTCCTTGTGTTGGTGGAGAATCACCAGCTAGAGAAAGCGAAACTGGAACGAGATCCCTGAAAAAAGGAGGTTCTAGAAGTTATGTAAATAATCACAGACTGGATTTACGGGCAGGGCTCCTTCAGTGCAGTCCCCAGATGTGAAACCCCTGGATCGTCTTGGCAACTGCATTTTAATCACTTGGCGTATGATTCGTTTTCTGCACACTGTGGGGATTGCATGTTTTAAGAGGGGCAGCAGTGAAGAAACGGGTCTCTCTTTGGCATCGCCTTAGAGTGAGTGTACCTTGTTGTCCCTGTTTCTGCACAGGCCTGGAGACTTGTCAGAGCTGCTGAAGGAGGGCACCAAGGAGTCCCACGACAAGGCGGAGAACACGCAGTTTGTCAAGGACTTCCTCAAGGGCCGCATCCGCAAGGAGCTCTTCAAGGTGAGCTGCTAAGCAGGCTGAGCGACAGGCTGGCACTTTTTCCTGGAATTGCTTTAAGGCCTTTTAAGAGAACGACCTTGTGCAGAGATTAGGGGTCTGAGCACAGATGAGGCAGAGAGAGCAGATTTGTCTTGCCTTCGAGAGCTGAAGGATGATTACAAGCAGCCACCAGCAGAGCGTTCAGGCAGTTGGGATTTCTAGGGAAGGACGTTTTACTCTCCCTTGTGAGATCTACGGGAAGGAGTGTGCTGCCTTCGCAACTCATGTTATCAGCACTGAAAATTGAGTCTCTTTTAAGTCAAATAATTCTTATAATTCTAATTAATAATTCTTTTTAAAGGACAAAAACTGTGTAATGTACTCATGTGATCCCTCCCAATCCATTCAGCACCATCAGTTCAGTGATCTGTACGTAGCAGATGATGGCAGCCTTTCAAGTGATGTTTTCATACTTGGAACATGTGTTTGTATTTGTTCTTTAATGTAACACCCTGGAATTAAACACAACTACTAGTTAAGTTGTTGTAGCACCACAGATTGCTGTGCAAGCCTTCTGATTGTGATCTCACTTGCAGTCTTTCCAGAAACAGGGGGGAAAAGTCTTTTCAAAAGTGACCTTTATCTTTATTTTTGCTAAAGGTGATTCTACCTGTTATGCATGTTAGGACATAAAGGAGTATAGTAAAAATAAGATGAACTAATTAAATTGTAGAAGATCTTCCCAGACCTCTGCATTGCTCTGTTGGTTGCAGTTGTGGTCAGACTATTCAGAGTTGTGCTAGGCGGTGGCAGTGTTGCACAGGTGTGCTGAGACAGCTGTTACATTACATCACAGCACTCTGTCTGTGTGGAACTGTGGAAATGTGCTGAAAGAATGTGAAAAGGTTTTAGACAAAATGTAAATTTAAAATGAAAACTCCAACCTCAATTGCGAGTCATCTAATTGATATATCCATTTTTAGAAGTTTTTTTCAGATACACATACAACTTTCCTGCTTAGTTTAGACATTCACAAAAGCACATCCCCTATCACTTTGATGTGTTTTGAGTTCAGAGCATAAGTAATATTACTGAAGAACTTCATAAAAATCAAGACGGGATGAAGTAGATGTCCAACTAATTTCTGTGCACTTCGATCTTCCTGTTTTTTTAAAATGGGACTGATGAAAGAAATGGGTTGTGAATGAATTGTGAATTCTACAGACATGCAGTACTTGATCTTGGACAAAAGTCTTGTGACGGCCACAAGTCTTAACTAACAAAGACAAATTATTCTGCTTCGGTTTTAAGTGTCTGAAATCTTGGGGAATACTCAACAGATGAAGCAGTCACAGATGTGTCATCAAGGATACCATAACTGAAGAGTTCATCTAGATGTTATAGCTCAGGAAATGACGGGGCTTGGAAACCGATACCCAGCATGGAGGTAGCGGTTTGAGCTCAATCCCCCTTCCCTAAAGGGTTTGGGGCTCAGGTTCTGTCAGCCCAGCTCCTGCACACAGTTTGTCGTCAATGAAATTGTTTTGGCCAGTTGCGGAGGGTTGAGGGTCTCGGGAGAGGGAATGCCGGCAGTTTCTTCCGAGACTGGTGTGTAAGGACACGCTGTAATGTCTAATGTCCCCCCCCCTCCAGCTGGGAACAGTGGCCCTGTACTTCACCTACTCTGCTCTGGAGGAGGAGATGGAGAGGAACAAGGACCATCCCCAGTTCGCCCCCCTCTACTTCCCTCTGGAGCTGCATCGGCAGGAGGCTCTGGCCCAGGACCTGGAGTATTTCTACGGGGAGGACTGGCGGGAGGTGGTGGAGCGCTCGGAGGCCACGCGGCACTACGTGGAGAGGATCCACGAGGTGGGGCAGCGCGCCCCCGAGCTGCTGGTGGCTCACGCCTACACCCGCTACATGGGCGACCTCTCGGGGGGCCAGGTGCTGAAGAAGGTGGCCCAGCGCGCCCTGCGGCTGCCCAGCACCGGGGAGGGCGTGAACTTCTACCACTTCGCCCACATCTCCAGCGCCAAGGAGTTCAAGCAGCTCTACCGCAGCCGCATGAACGAGCTGGAGCTGGACCAGGACACCAAGGAGCGGATTGTGGAGGAGGCCAACCGGGCCTTCTGCTTTAACATGGAGGTGAGGAAGCCTGGGCGTCCTTCAGCCGAGAGAGTGCTCGTCTTCAAAGTCTCGTCTTGAGGTGCTGATTGGTCCCCCTGTGGTGTTCACGTGGAGAGCTATCTCCGTCAGTTGTCCCAAAACAAGAAATGGCACTGAAACCTCTGAACAAGGTTGAACACGAGTAGGCCAGAAATAACACTACTCCGAATAAGAATGAAAAGACTTAAGCTCGCATGAGTTTATACCTTGATTTTGAGACCTGATGTTCAGGTGTAGTGTAAAAGGTGTGAAAGTCCACTGCAGGTTAAAATAATGCTATTAATTCTGTATAAAGGATTTCCTGTTACCCGAATCAGTTCTCCTGGAAGGATCAGATCTTTGTGCTTGAAGATAAACTGTTTGTGAGGGACAGCTGCTTTGATTCATCGCGACACGTGCATTGCTGTTTGTAGGTCACACAGGATTCCTGAGGTTGTATAAATAGGTAGTCCTATATAAATCTGGATTTTTTTATATAAAAGTCTATTTAGATTTTTATTTTTTTTTGTCTGCATGTAGTTTTTAAATTCTGTCAGATATAATCGGTTTCAGACAGCTGCTGTTTCGCTAGACCACAGGGGTCATTAAATTACTTTTATTTTCCCTTCCTGGGAAAGTTTTTTCTCCCTCTTGGTTATGTTGGCTCCATTTATTGTTAACTTTAACAGTGTTTTGTTAAGTTGTTTATAGGCTGTTGGAACAGTTATTATTAAATATCATGTAGTTTACTTGCATTAAACAATGTCTGCATACATCTTTAATTAGTGAAGGACCAGTTGTGGTTAAACTTTGAATACCAATAAATGCATTCTGAAATTTATACCCATAAACTTCCATGTTTGAAGATAACTGGTAGCATAGTTCTTTAGTATCTTTCATGTTTAACAAGTAGTGGTGAAATTAAAGGGCGCAACCCTGGTCATCAGCAGGCTTAAACTTCCCTAAACTACAGTCCAGTCAGATCTTGAAGTAAAAGATGATTTTGCCTTATATGGCCTATATTGCCTTATGATCTCCCTTATAGTCCCATCAGAGTAAAGCTCCCCCAAATCCTGGAGTCAGGGGAGGATGATCATGACAGATTGGGGCATATCAGTATCCTACAGATACATCAGAAATTTTGGGGATACTGTTGTTCCTGCGGTTTGTTGAAAATTATGGTGATTATGGTGTTAATAGCAGATCAGCAGATCCTCAGGCACCTGGTCAGTTGCCATAATCGATGTTTTGCCTGCAGATCTTCGACGAACTGGACAAAATTGGCCAGACGATAAAGGATGAGGTCCTGGACGGTGGTCTACCGGTGTACGAGGGGAAGGGAGACATCCGGAAATGCCCATACTACGCCGCCAAGATGGGTAAGAGCCGGTGAATGGGGCTTGGACAGAGTTATCTTCATCTGCCTTTGGAGAATGTAATCCTCTTGGAAAGAGAAAGGGGATGTTAAGGAGCAGATCTGAAGTGGCCTGGCCTGGATCAAGGTCGTTTCCTTGCTCAGACAAAGTCTGCCTTGAGCTGAACCGACCTCTCCTTGTTTGTTTCCTCCTAGCTGCAGGCGGGGGCTCGTCCTACGCCTGCCAGGTGGCGGTGGCCCTGCTGAGACACCCCATGGGGCAGGTCCTGATGGCCGCCTGCGTGGCTGTGCTGGCGGGGGTGGCTGCTTGGTACGCCATGTGACGGACGAGGGCCCGAGACCTGGGTCCTGGGGGAACAGGGGGAGCGAGACAGTGGTGGGTTGGTGGCTGGCGACCATGAAGACCCGCCCCTCTGCCCCGTGACGGGACCGGCCCCGGTACACCGTTGTGGTGTTTAGTGCTGACAAGAAACCCTGTGCGGCTCAATTGGAAATATAGCAACATTGATGTATTGTGCTCTCAACTCTCAAGCAGATTTTCATAGCAGAATGTTTTCGTTGTTTTTTTGTTTGTTTGAACGTTGAGCTGCAGTAAGATGGCCCATTTCGCTGGATTGAATCCAACCTGTGCAGATTAGATCAGGAACTTTCCTATGAGTTATACTGTATGTAAGAACGTCAGCTCATTTCGTGCTGTTCCAGTTCCCAGACTGTTTCAAACAGCTGCTTGAAGCATGCATTCAAGTCCAAGCATATGCCATATGTAGTTTGAATGAAACATTATGGTGATTTGCGAATGAACAGACATGGAATACAAAAATACACACCATGTCAGTTCCCATTTAAAGAAAAAAAAGGCATTTGGAAGGTGCCACTCCAGCATGCTATCAGTTTACCAGGGAGATTGATGTCGTCTCATGATTTAAATGGTCAGGATCAAAGCCCTTGCTTGAAGCTTTCATCATCTAATTAAATAACAGCAAATGGCGTATTGTCCTCATTCTGCAATTGTGAAATAAGGGGAAACCTAGTTTTAAAAATCGGGTCAAGCAATCTTTGCCATGAAGGATCTCGCCAAAAAGCTATGGAAAACAGATTTGTAGCAAGTCATTTTGTCCTGCTTTCTTGTTAAAGCCTGAGACCTTCTTTTTAGGTGCACAATTTGCATCTTTAGACTTTTTTTCCTGCAATCTGATCTAAGATTTTAGTTTCATCAGGCTTAGTGCAAGACATTGCCACTGATGCTCTAGCTGCAGTGTGGTGAAGGAACACTGTCATTCTGTGCTGGTACCACACACAGCAGTTAGAAAGCAGGAGGGGTTTCAAAAAGCAACGAGGAGGAGGAATTAGATGGAACAGAATCCCTTATGGCAGTTTGTACACATGAACATTTAGTTAGTAAATATGCAAAGCACGTTTGCCTTGATTTGATTAAAATTCCCACTGATGCTCTAGATGTTTTATTTGATCAAGGTTCTGCAACCTTTCTCCCTCGAGAAGCCTAATGTTGCAGTTTTAGAGATGAACATTTCTATTTTAATAACTAAAGCCTTGGACAAGTATATTTAGAACTGAAGCAAGTGATCTTGAAGTAATTCAGAGAACAAAAACCTGAAGCCACACTGGTGAGAGACCTGCTATCTGCTGTATCTTGCTGCGAGCAAACAGTAAGTCCTTCCAAAGCAGTTGTGCAAGAACAGAAAATTACAGAAGATTGTTTTCTAAAATGGTTTCTTTAGGAAACCTCCTTTTATGTTTTTATCCATCCATTTTCTAACTGCTTTATTCTATTCAGGTTGGTGGGGGAGCCAGAGTCTGTCTCAGCAAGCAATGGGCACAAGGCAAGCTACACCCTGGATGGGACACCAGTCCATCACAGGGCACACACATGGACACAAACAAGATCACACCAGGGCCAGTTTTCCCAGAAAAACTCTACCTACCAGTATGTCTTTGGACTGCAGGAGGAAACAAGAGTACCTGGTGAAAACCCACGCAAACACAGGGAGAACATACAAACCCATGACCACTAAATACGATTGACAGCAGAAATTACCTTATGCGGTAAATTATTTGATCTCTTAGTATAGTTTCAATGCATTTTGACCTGTAAAGTGAAGTTAACATTACTGTTAAAATTAAAACCTAAGTTTTCATGTTCTGCAACGGTAATATGGTCATCCCTCCCAGTTCTGAACTGACTTTCCTAGCTAGGTGTAGAATGGAAACATGGACAGTTTTATCATCTTATTCAGGCTCAGTGGTTACCTCACGATTACAGTTAGCAGTAAAGTCATCTTTAAGCATGTACAAACAAAAACTGCAGCCTTCACCTATAATGTGAAATGTGAAAAAAGTATTAAGTTGTTGCAAGAGCCTTAAATTGAAGTAAAACGGCACAATTTTGATGTTGCAAAGAGTTTAATTAGATCGTTAATCTGAATATCAGGGATAATGTTCAAATTAATTTTTAAAAACTTAAGGACGAAAAAGGGTGACTACATATTGCAAACCATAAACATTTTGGTCAAGGTGGCTGTTATTTTATTTTAAGTTTTTAAAAAATAAATAAATGCATTTTACAACACTTTACAAAACAAAAACGGTTCAGTTTAGTGGATGTGGATTATTAAGGAATGGATTGGATCAAAAGAGTTACATGAAAAAGATATTGAAGTAAATGAATTCCTCAATCGTAGATTTTTCCATTTCTGTTTAAGAAAACTGGTTGGATGCTGTGAATTACAATGATCACGCTACAAGCTGCACATGATATCTTGTTTTTAGGAAATATGCGCATAGGATATCTGTCACTAATATTGACTTGTTTTTCATTCTGAAAAGGAATACCATTGCATTCCTAAAGTATTTGTAATTCCATTGTTTTGCAGTGGAAATGTTGACTGGTGAAGTGCTGTCAGTCTTGTAGGAGACTGACACGCTCTCTCCTATACGCACACAGTAACTGAACCGGTTCGTTACACCACAACTTGCACAAAGCTGCACTTCTGAAATTGTCTTTTCTGAAATGTGTTTTAATGTTGCTGCATTATATTATTTTACGATGATAGCATGAGATCTAGTTAAAGATGTTGCTAGCCTCTGTCAGCATAGTTATAAATCTACTATAGCTTGTAGTACTGAAGTATATTTTCTATTTAACCATTTACTTTGTTACTCTGATACTGTGTATTATAATCTGAAGACTAGCTTTTGTCCCTGCAAACAAAGCCTGTGAGGATGATCTTCAGCTGACTGACTTACAGTGAACGGTATGCAATATTAATGCTAATGAGTGTGCCTAGAAGCTGTTTCTGAAATTCTTCTTTGAGGTGTTTCTTGAGTTTTTTTAGGTTTTATCCACTTGTGCAGTTGTACTTTGTAAAGAGAACAAAGGTTAAAACACTTGAACTTTCAGCACTGTCAAATGAATGTGCACTCTCCCAAACTGTTTTTTGAAAAGCACTAGCATGGTTCAGTATTCCCATTCATCTGCATGGGCTGCACGGACCCTGTCATATGCTTGGTAACTGGTGGAATATGCGATTATTTGTTTTCCTTATTTAAACCATGACCAAAAGCACCTAGACCCAGAAGCCATTCCAAGGGGGAAATGAGGGGATTTTGATTCTTTGCGTGCTCTTAGTGGTTCTGTGATTTGCTCTCGTATGCCAAAGGATAGCCTTTATAATTTAATTATGTATGCCGTTCGCTTCAGTTAAACTGAAGTCGTAGCTTTACTCTGGTTCACCCAAAGCTGCAAGCAGCGTTTCCAGCTCTGCTTGTGTTTGAGGTCTGTGCTGTCGTGGGCAATAATGCACCAATGAGGGCTTTCATGGGTCCCATTAATTTGATATAATACAAAGCATTGGTGTTTGCAAAGAGGAGACAGAAGGACAGTCGGGAGATGATTTCTGTTATAAACTTTTACTAATTCTTAATGGGCTGTTTTCTTCTTACGAGAATAATCTGTGATGCAATGATATGTAACAAAACAGTTTGAACTGTTAATTTTCATTAGACACCTTGTATTTACCTAATTTTACCTTAAGGCTCAACGGTAATACCATTAGATGGTGCCATTGTGACCATCTAATCTATTACCACAGAAAAGTGTATTTTGGTGGAAGAGCTGTGAAGTGACTTCTTTTTGTGTACGATAAATTAAAAGTTATGCATTGATAGTACTTCACAAATAAAGAATAAAATGCAAAATATGTACAAAAAGACTAATGGAAAGTGTAAACCTAACAAGTACGGTGTATTTTGAAGAATTAAAAAAAATCATTTCCTTTAGAAAAAAATGCTGGGAGTCTTTTTATTAATAACCTGAACATTCATGTATGTTCAATTAAATGTCAGTGCACCTGCTACAAAAGTGATTTTAGGATTTGTAGTAAGAAGTAAAGCTTGTGTTGATGATCAGTAAACTGTATATCTCCACAATTTCTCAAAAGGAGAAAATTAAGACAGCCATATCCATCAGGTCTGCACATTTCCTTACCTGCATAACTCACACATCCTTAGTTTTAAACACGTATTTTTTGTTTATCTAATTTAAGCACAAATTAGCGCAGGAGGCCTAGAATAAAGTAAGTTTAGTTAATAATACCTCAGTTTTCTGTGATGTTCCTCCACCAATTAAACATTAAACAGAAAGTCATACTGTGGGACTTCTGCTACCCTTTCATTGTCCTCAAGAGTGGAGTCAAAAAGGCTTGGATCGTCTGATGCTGTACTTTTAAGATGTTGCCCGACAGCTTTTTTGACCATGTGTGAACATACAAATATATTGTGTGGTAATGACACAACACAGGTATTCATTATACTGGGTTGATCAACAATGTTCTCTGGTGTGAAGGCAAGAGACTCGTTATATTTGCCGTCGGGGGGTGTTGTCCTGTTACTCTCATAGAGCCTGAACCTGTTCATTCCTTGGTCTGGGAGCCCAGAGATGTTCAAGGGGGCACAAATCTGGCAGCTGGGGCATCTGTAGTGTAACTGTCCCGTTCTTCCTTTGCAAGAAAGTGGTTGATGGACGAGCAGTAGGAGGACGTGCATTGACCTCCAGGAATGTCATCGTCGGGATGAACCTGTAGGAAGGGCAGCAGGCGAACTCCTCACGTCAGTGTGCTCAGTGTAACACTATGCACTCATAGCCATCAGTCGTCATCAGCGGTGTTTTTTTAATGATCATACACTGGTGCCTTGGCTTTCTCAGTTGGATCTCCCCATCCATTGGTCGTTTGGATCATTCAGTGTATCATGATGTATGCCGGTCTGCACTTCTCTTGCTGATGCTTATTTGGATGATCTAACCAAGACCTAGATTCATTGCTCTAGTGTCCCTCACCTTGCTGGTTGCACGTCTGACTGAAGCGGTGTCCCCTTCAGAGGAAGGGCATGTTAGTTTCCTTTTGTTTGTGTTGTTGACTCACTTGTGCCCAGTCAAATCTCCTGGCAATCAAGTGATTGAGTGACTATGCCAGAAAGCCAACCAGCACCACACTCACCTCTTTTGTGTATTAGCTAAACCATTCAATGGACATGGAGCTCAAAATCACAATTTAGAAGAGAATGTAAATGGAATTATTCTGGAGCAAACATTTCTTTTTGTTATGAATATTGTTGAAGTTATCCAAGTGTGCAAATGTGTAAATACTGGAGTCTGTTCAGAATATTTGGAGAATAATGGACATTTACAACCTCTTTTAGGGCACAGCTAACAAATGTTTGAACACCAAACAAATTCCAGATATAAACACTTATTTAATGACCTATTACACATTAGAACATATTTGAATGCCAGCATGCTGAACTTATTTGGACCTTGTAATTTCTGCACACAAGATGAGTCTGTGCATCTTCATTATAGGATGTGGGAAGTGCATCTGTGCCATTTCAGCCTTGACTTGATCCCACAAAACATGAAAGTGAAATGAAACCTGTTAGGGTCCAGAGCTCCTTTAGTACTGTACCTGTTACATTGCAGGTTTTCTGTCTAGCAACTATGCCACTTTTTTATTGAACAGAGATCATAATTATTTCCTTTATCACCTGTATCAGCACCTTACTGCTGCTGGCTACTTGACTGTAGCATCTACGGCTGGTCAAAACATGTGGTTCATTCTAATGCAAAACTCTACTAGGATAAAAGAAGTCTTTATAGTTGAAAAGAATGTCAGTTTTATTTTATGTTATCTTTTGATACTGGTATACTTCAGAAATAAGAAACTCTTATGATTGAGTGAATTAAACTGTAGTATCTATGGCTGGTCAAAACATGTGGTTCATTCTAATGCAAGTCTCTACTAGGATAAAAGAAATCTTTATAGTTGAAAAGAATGTCAGTTTTATTTTATTTTATCTTCTGCTACTGGTAAACTTCAGAAATAAGAAACTCTTATGGTTGAGTGAATTAATAGTGCAAATGTACACATAGGACTGCTATTTTTCCCCACTTAGACTTTTCACTACTACTGGTTAATGAACAGCTATTAGGGGACTGTTTTTCAGCATCTTGATCTTAATCCTGGTGCTGTAGCTGTGCGCACTTACAGGTGCAGCTTCATGGCCTTCACCTGTCCTCACCCTGCTATTTCAGAACTGAAAACACATTTCCAAGCCCGCTACCTGCTCTACAAAAAACAATTAACGGGTGCTCTTAGAACAAGATTTTCCAGTTAACTGGTGCTCTTAAACCAAGATTTTCCAACTGGCACGATGGCTACTAAGAACAGAACTGCTGATCTTCCACTATAATTTATTTTGTGCTTGGCAACATCAGGCATGTAGAAACCTAACAGAAAACAGGCTAGGGGGATCACGTGACAGCCTGCGAGAACGGGTAAGACTCATCTGCCTGTGTGGCTGCTGGATCAGCTGTAATAAGATCTCAGGCAATGGGACTCGCTTGCCTCCCCCTGTCCCGTTGTTTTGGATGAGCCAGTCTTGCCAAATGCTTTGCTTTCAACAGCACCTGTAGTATATTCAAACAGCTCCCCACCCCCTTTAGCACAGCTCACCAGCTTAGTTTCATCAGGCTGGAGGCCGATGGTGCAGTCCCGTGAATTTGCAGAGGAGGCCTGGTGAAGGTTACGATAGGATTCATCAAGATGCATCTTACTTACAAAAACGAATGCACTGGGTTTACGTCTGCTCACTGTAAAGGATTTTACACAACATGTATGATATGACTGCAGTCACTTTTTATCCTAGTCAAATTCTATGAAATGAGAAGATGACATTCAATACAGCCTGGCTGCCCCGTAATTAACAGCTTTCAAAAACCATCAAGTCGTTACGTAAAGCATCCCTCCCCCATAACAGTATAACATTTCCTGCACATCTGACTAGTTAGCCAATGCTTCATAGAGTGAGGTTAATTTCCTTTTATCTTCAGAAAGCGTCTTGCAGCTCCAGGGTTGCTGTAACTTAGTGGGTCAAATTCATATCACTGTCGGTGACAATAGAAACAAGGCATCCCACAGATGGGAGTGAGCCTAGATCGAGAAGTATCCAAGTGACCTTAAGATGATCAGCTCTCCTCTGCTCTCCCATCAGCTAAAGCTTGAAACAGCCTCCCTCCCACTGAGACACAAAACACTACTCCTTATCCGCATCCTCATATTAACAAAACACAATGTTAAACAGAACTTCAAACTTGTAGAGATGTAAGTGTCCTCAACTAACTTGGTTCCTGCAAACAAGGAACTTCCATGGGGCAAGTGGGTAAGAGGTGGCTTGCCCCTAAGAAACTGCTTCATCTGGAAGTGGGCCCTGACAACCACATGGTCTCCACCCTCTGACAACACACTATAGGGATGCCCATCCCACACACTTTGTAATTTAAAGTGCTGAAAAAGCACCAAGAGCCTACAGTGAAGGGAAAAGCTTTAATTATGTAGAATCCCAAACCGCAAACTTTTGGAGATCCTGGAGATCGTGTGTATGCGTTGCTGTGGCTATATGTAACTTCTGTCCCAAATACACAACTCCAATGGTCGTGACGCCTTCATCCTGTTGTTGGGGCAGTCGCTTGCAGGTGTGCTGGATCCTGTTTAGTAGTCGTGATCTTCATCCTGACCCCTCGGAAATGTCTCTTTACACCCAGCTCTTAGGAACGTAGCAGCTTCGTCTAGCAGACAGGCAACTCTTCATGAGGAAGTCCGGGTATAATCTGTCATTCCAATATCCTGTTCCAGTCGCAACCAAACTGGATCCATGGCTCAGTTCGCCCTAATTCCCAGTGTAGCGCTTCCCTGTAAAACAAGCCAGACCATATATTAATCCTTGACTCTTCAAAGGTTCGATATGGGGTTTTTCTGTTTTACAAATTTCAGACCTGCATAAAAACAGCATTATATGCTTCTAATATTACTGTGGTTTAAAATACACGTCTCTGAAAAGAAAAGTGTGGTTTTCGTAGATATAACAGACCCTCTGAATAAATAGCTGTGCAACCAATTTTTGGTCCTCATCGCAGGTTCTGAAATCATTATCAAGATGGGAAACATGGGAGTCCTTTGAATGGAAGATCTACAGGATCAAAGTCTGCTTTCTTATTGGGCCTTGTTCAGATATCTGCCCATTTGTGAAACAGGTGGGGGTAAACCAGGGTCAAGTTTCCTCACTCTTCACACAGGCCTGAGAGGAAGACAAACCAGCTACTAACGGGTACAGAAAGTAAAGCAGAAGAATAGGTAGTACTGCAGGGAAAAGGAATAAAGTTAGCCAGAGGAAAAAGGCAAGAGGCATGTTTCCACCCAAAGGACCTTATTTCCAATGCAATAACCAAGGTGCCTTGCTGAAGTCTTCTTTGACACATGGCTAGATAAGATCCTTGGATCAACTGACTACGAACTACCAAACGAGCTAGACAGGCCAAAGGCCTCCTCGTTCTTTGTTAGCAGTCCTTAATCCCAGCAGCACTGGTAAAAATGAACTGATAGTAATTCAATCTGCAACTGGTGGAGACCTAAATAAAAATACTTATATTCCACCTTAATAAAATGTATCTCCTTTTGTCGATTTAGATTTGCCGATTTTTTTTTAATCTATCCATATAACTTGCAATCAACAACTTTCCCGTCATTTCTCGGCTCGCAGCTAGAAACTTTGCAGCCGCACACGGGAAAAATGAGGAAATGAAGGTAGGGTCCCACAACCTGCCCAGCGTCGAGCCACCAAGACTACACTGCTGCGTGCTGGAGGCTCGAGGCTGATGGGAGGAGAGGCATGGCCTTCACCTGCAGTTGCCCGGAAGGTCACAGGGGCTGATGGCCCAACCTTTTCTTCACCAGCACTTGGTCAACCATGCACTGTTGCTTGGGGACACCAGTTACAGTTGGCTAGTTCCATGACCCAGACTCAAACCTACTCTCAAGTGTAAATGTTAATACTGGCTGATCATGCTTTGGAATCCCTAGAGAAAACTTGACTGAAATCCCATTTTTTTCCCCTAGAAACAGTGGTGCCCAGCCTGGAGTAAACCCTAGTGTTGCGAAGTCTTTTTGGAGATGGAAACAGCTGACAGCGGACAGCAGAGAGGAGAGGAAGGGAAGGTGAGAGTGCGGGGTCTGAGAGGGCCTACCTGGGCTGGGGCTGTCAGAAGCTAAACATTTTCTTTAGTTTGGAGATGAAGCCCTCCTCTTTGTCTTGGCCCTCCTCAGGCCTGTCCTGCCCTGCATCAGGGCGTGCCCCCCTGGAGCCCCCACCTGGACACAAATGGGTACTGTGTCAGTGGGCTTTGATAGCCAGGCAAAGTAGATTACCATGGATGAGGTGACTAAGCTCCTGCCTGGGTGTGGGGACTCCCACAGGACCCCAGCCCTGGACAGCTTGTCACCAAGAGTCCAGTAACCCAGTTACCTCGACTGCAGGGAGGGAGGACTCTGCCGCACTTACACAGCTCAACGTGTTGTTTCGTTTTCATATAGTTTTCAAGAGAACCACATGAAAAAAACGGAACAGGAGGGAATTTACACAAAGGGGTGCACGAGCCTGGAGAAAATGGCTAGCATTGTTTCAGGAAACAGCTGGACGAGATCCTCAGATCACTTCACTACTGACATCCAAAGAAGCTGGACTGGCCCCAATGGCCTTCGCTCGTTTCTCCACCCGCCCATCATCCGAAAGGCGCTTCCAGGGAAGAGTGGCGCCAATCCGACCCCCATCCCAGAAGCACGGGGCGCAAGGCAGCACTCAGCCTTGGGAGGGCTGCCTGTCCCCCACAGGGACTAACTGGACAGAAGATCCACTGCTCAGCAGGTCTTTGGAACGAGGTGAGAAAACCAGAGCAAGAGCGAACCCGTGGGAACATGCAAGCTCTACACACGGAGATTTTTCAAACCAGTTCACCAGGGTTTTTGTTTTTCGCTCAGACGCTTTGCAGACGTCAGCCGAAATGGGAGAACCGCGCCCCTAACCTGGAAAGGTGGAAGAGGGCTCGGTGTTCTGGAAAGGGAAGCAAGCGATGTCTGCGCAGGAGGGGAGTAAGCAAGCGACAGAGTGTCCTACCTGCTGCAGTGTTAGTGATGCCATTTACAGTTCCTTCCACATCCGTCTCGTCCTCCGCAAAGCTCACGAGCAGAGCCCGCTGCCGGTCCGTCAGGTTCCTGCAGGGGCGGAGAGAACAGGCGGGACGCCCGAGTCAACGTGGGGTTTCAGCATGGAGCAGAGTCTCGTTATACCTTGCGATCAGAGCCCTGTGCTGCCAGGCCTCACCCAGCGACAGGCCTTTCACCTGCTGGAATGGGATGGGGGGTCACAAGCAAGATTTAACGCAGCCCGTCCTGATATTCCACCGCCCATGAGGGAATGCGCCAATGTCAAGAGCCACCTATGACGATGCCGCTCCCTCCTGCTGTAATTCTGCTAACTGCTGGGACACAGCGGGAAGAACTGAGGGATATACTGGAGGCAGTGTAGTATGACACACGAGCGACAGAGTGACATCTCTTACTTGGGCACCCGGATCTTGATGTGGACGTAGTGGTCTCCGTATCCATAGCTGTTGACCCGAGGGATCCCCTTCCCGGAGAGACGGATCCTCTGATCGCCCTGGGTGCCAGGCGGAATCTGCCAGGACAAGCCACAACGAGCTTTACCACTTCCAAAATGCCTTCCAAGAAGCCTAACAACCACATTTATACTTCTCTACAATGAATCAAGTACTGTGGAGATTCAACACTTTTACAAATATACTACATTTTTTATTTTTTATCTCTGAGATAATTTCATCTTTATCATTCAGCTGACACTTTTTCCCCCAGCAGATGGCAGCAGTGCGACTTCACATACTTCTGAATGACCATTTAACTGTTCTCTCATTTATATCCTATTCTTCACCTAAGCTATGTGTCTGGGATAGTGCATTTCATACTGTACTTGGTTAATTAATGGAGATCACAGATCTAACCCTGGTGGACATTATGGAGCACACAACTAAGCTGAGCCTGGGTGTCTATAGGAGGCAGGTGCAAACAGGAGCATCCAATGAAAGAAGGGGAAAAACGTGCAGAATCCACACAGACAGCTGATCTTGGAACTGGATCAGGGACTCTGGACCTGTGAGGCAGCAGTGCTAAGCCCCACACTACTGTGCTGCTCCTACATCCCAGATGAACTCAGACTGCTAGCTTTAACCTGCACTTTTTCAAGTGGGGGATGTACTGTCCATTTCGGACTAAGAGATAGGACGAAGATCCACAACCGCCGCAGTCTACCCACCGCGATATTCACGGTCTCGTAGAGCCCCTGTGCTCGGGCCGTGCCCCCCAGGATGGCCTGGGACACGGAGATGAAGAGGTCGGAGTGGATGTCGGCTCCGTCCCTCCGGAACACCGGGCTCTTCTGGACCTGCAGGCAGAGGACAGGTCATAGGTCAGGGTCAGAAATGGCTGCAGTGAGCAGGTGATCGCCTGTCTTGGAAAGCGCACCTCGAGCCAAGGATCAGAAGCACTGCATGTTTTAATCACATAGCAAAGGACTAAATCGCCAGGGCCACACAGTGCCTAGAATGCAGGAACACAAGAAAGCCTGATCTCTATCTTCACAGCCCAATCCTCCTATCATTTCTCATGCTATAAGCGAGCCTCTTGCTGCCGAGCCTGAGGATATATCTTGCAGGCACTAATATGGATCAGTCCTAGAGCAGAAAGACTGGTCATGAACGTGAAGAACCCCATAATAAAAACCTTCAGAGGCTTTCAGCGACTCTTCATCTATACGTGAACAGCGGTAAAGGAGAGCGTTTTTTACTGACCATTTTTTGGGACTGCACATATACACATGTCCAAAATCGAGTTACAGGAGTTAAAACAGAAAATTTCAGTTTTGCACGCAAAACGTACGCACAAATTTAAACAGGTGGGTGAGCTGGACCAGTCTGGGTAGAGTACCCTGCTCAGCGGAAAAGCAGCAGCGTCCCCACCTGGGGGTCCACACTGCTGCTGGCTGCCTGGCGCACGGCCATTTCACACCACAAACCTCTTCCCTGCTTTGCAGCTCGTTACTTATAAGACCAACAGAGAGATGACGAGCCTCAGATGAACGCGCTACAAGGGCCGGTCACTCACCCGGAAAGTGATGAAGATCTCTTTCTTCCCCACGGACATCCGGACAGTCTGGCCATCCTCCACCCCTACGCAAAGAATCATGGTTAAAACAGCCCAGCCCAAAGAAAGGACTGCCCTGGGCCAGTGGGGATGCTGGAAGGGAGCAGGCTGTGTTGCAGTCTAGCCCCACTGGTCAGCAGGAATAGGTGGTGATAAATGGACAGGCTGCATAGTGCAGCAGAAGCTCCCGACCCTGGTCCTAAAGGGACGCCGTGTCCGCTGGCCTTCATTTACAGAACATCATTGCTGCTGAAAACCAATTCATTACGACGGAGGCGTCCTTCGTGTCATCTTCACACGACAGCACGAGTGGCATAGAAACCCGACACCGTCCTTAGTCTTCAGTTTTGAGAAGCGGACTCGATTCCACGGCACACTCGTTCTTGTTTAAGGGTACGCGCGTCCTTGTGGTTAAAACTGCCTTCACATTAGGGTGGAAAATGTGACAGTGTGTATTCTGCAACGCTAGACACTCGTGAATACTGATCCCACAGTGGCAGCTAAGCTCTCGGTAATTTCTGGGCGCTGGCATTGTAACAGGTTGTTCATCTTGTAATAACGCAGTCATTCCCCCCCGTTGATGATGGCTGAGCCCTACACCGACGGCGCTAATTGACGGGCTGCTCACCTGCAGGCACGGGCACCTTCACCGTGCGCCTCTGCTTCGTCTGGCCCGTCCCCCGGCACACCACGCAAGGCGTGGTCATCACAGAGCCCCGCCCCCCGCAGCGCCGGCAGGTGGAGCGCATCACGAAGGGGCCCGTGTTTATCGTCTCCTGCAGGGGGCGGCAGCGGGCGGACCGTTACTGGAGCACCAGCGCTTCAGGCCGAGGACACGCTGGACCAGAGCTCTGTTTGCCAGTACCTAACCTCAGCATCTCCCTGCTACACGAAGGAGTGAGCGTCGGAGCAGGCTGGCATTTCCAAGTGGATATTTAAATGACATACACTTGGTTTAGGCATGGAAATGAAAGGCAAATACGTGAAACTGAATGATCGGGTGTATCTGCATGAATTTTACACAGAATTTGTTTTTGCATAATTTAATACACCAAGGCCAAACTGTCCACCCTATATTTAAGGCCGTTAAGGAACAGTAAATAACACAACAGTATTTTATATACCTTGACATACCATGTCAATGCAGGCTGCTTTTGAAGTATAGACTTTACAGTAAGACTTTGTCACAAACAATCCTGAATTTCCAAGTAGGGGGAAAAAAAAAAACTTGAAGCGAAACATTCAAAACATGAGTTTGCTGTGCATTAGCTTTCTGGTGATTTCTATTCTGCTGTCAAGAGACAAGGATATATTTAACAGTAACAGTAGTACAAACGAGCTCTATGATTCAGATAGGGTGGGTCTGAGGCTGGAGTTTGACCAGGACTGTACAACTGGTTTCCTAGGAAACACACCCCACTGGGATGTCCTCTCATCAGCTCTGACCGTCCTGTGTGTCACTGCAGAGCGCGTGACATGTTAATGGCTTGACAACAGCCGAATGGCCTAATGGAGAGGGCAAGAGGAGTCTGCCCGCGGCCCCACATCCTTCTCACGTGGGTACAGGGGCTATGGCTGTGAGCCGCCGTGTAAACCGGCCCGCACACAACGCAACCTATATCGACAGGTCTGCAGGGATACACCTGGACAGGACGGTGTGCTCTTGCTGGCTACATTAATTCGTTTTGAATATTTCCGAGACCTGAATTATTCATCCATTTGTAGAGCTGCTCACATCAGGCTAAGAACACACGGCTCAAGTAAGTGTGTCACGCAGCTCCGGCAAGGAGCCGAGCCTGTTTAACAGAACCCAGGTTAGAAGAAAACAAAAGCCGCGTTTGTTTGTGTCTGGGGAGCTCTTCCGGCTGTTGGGTTTCGTCAATTTGCTTTCAAAGGCAGCTTTTCCCCCCACACACAACACCTCATTAAAATAAATTAGGCATCACTGGCCATTTCGGAAACCCCCATAACCGCCCTCTATATGGTGGTCTGGATCTACAGCACGAGCTCCGCCATCTACAGCCCTCATATCGGTACGAGGGAGAAAAAAGGTCGCTTCTGTGAAAATGTGCACCGTCCTGGAGGCGATCAGACTCAGAATCTAGTGGTGGATGCTGGCGTGTATATATACTGTTTAAGTGAGGGTTCTCATGAAAGGTGTGGACCTGGCAATGCTGCGTGGGCGGACGTTAGAATAAGCGCCCGCAGGACACAGCCTGGCAGGAAGGCGCTCACCGGCAGTGGGTGCCAGGCGTGCGTTCGGAGGTGCTCACCATGCCAGTGCCGTTGCAGTAGTGGCAGTGCTGCAGCTTGGTGCCCGGCTCGTTGCCCTTGCCGTCACAGCGCTGGCACGAATCCTCAATGTTGACGGAGATCTCCTTGTTCACCCCCTTGGCCGCCTGGGTGAACGTCAGCTCCATGACGTACTGGGGGAGGAGAAACGGCAACTCAATTCGGCCCCCTCCCAAGATGTGATGATCCGAAGCCTCTGGCGGCGCGGAGTCGGAGACGCAGGGTCTCTCCTCCGCGAGGTACGCACCTCCTGGGGCTGCTCGAAGATGGAGTTGAAGTTCCCGAAGCTGGAGCCGGAGAACTCCCCGAAGATCTTGCGGAAGAGCTCCTCGGGGTCCATGCTGGTCCCGCCGCGCCAGTACTGCTGGCTGCCCGCCCCCGCCTGCCCTGGGTCGAACCCGGCCGCGCCGTAGGTGTCGTACTGCTTCCTCTTCACGTCGTCACTCAGCACCTGCGCGCAGACGGGGGGTCCGTGAGGAGGAGGAGGAGGAGGAGCAGCGAGCTGGAGCCTTCCTCTCCCTCCTGCTCCTGGACTCCCGCGCAGCTGAGCTCTTTATCCAGCTCAACCGGCTTGCGGTCCTGCTGTTACCTTTCTAAGCCTTCTGCCTGCCTGGACGCTGGCGGCTCACTTATTTCTTTATAGAGCGCGACAGTAAATCGGCTTCCTCCTGCCCGTGACCCTCGCGGGTTGAAAACGGTGAAGGAGGTCGAATTCGTCGCTACAACTTAGCAAGCGCAGCACGTCTATACTTCTCCAGGAACGGGAACCCAAAGTTTAGAAACCAGACCGAAGAGTCCCCTTTCCATGGAGATCCAGAAGCTTAAAATGTAGAAAGAAGCAACCTGCCCGAGCACAGAAAAAGTTGACGGGTGGTTAAACTGTTATGAAATGAATATGTAAAAATGGGCAACCCTGGCCCGAGCTTGCGTAGCTTTAAATCACTCAAAAATACACCCGAGAAGTGGAGACGTAGGTCTGTTTTCTCAAACTTACCTCATAAGCTTCCGCCAGCTGGGCAAACTTCTCCTTGGCCTGGGGGTCATCCTTGTTTGTGTCAGGATGGTACTTCTTAGCAAGCTGAGGGGAAAAGGCTTCAGTTTAGTCTCCAGGGGCCCTTTGCCCCCCTCTCGCGTTCCAGTCGCAGGGACAACAATTTACTTTATTGAAACAAACGCCTCAGAGTCTCTGCTGAACACCGACATCCAATGCCTGGCGCAACCGAGTCAGTTCACCACTGAAGGTACATTAAACACAGGACTTTCTTCTTACTGGTCTGTAGGCTTCGCCTTCTGTTTCCGGTCATGGCATAGAACAAGAACCTTTAATAAACAATTTTATCGGTTTCTTATTTAAGAAATAACAAAGGGTACAGGCTTTCACAGGAATTCTACAGCAGCTCTCGTCATCTTTCCTGCATCTGCAGTCTCTGGAGCTGTAGCCACGTCTCTCACCTGGTAATAAGCCTTTTTGATCTCCTTCTGCGTGGCCGACCGGGACACCCCCAGCACTTGGTAGTAGTCCTGCTTGTTTGACGCAGAGGCGCTGGTGTGGAAGGCGGGGGCAGGGATGACACTGGGGCTCCTCACTCCTGTATGGGCACGTGGAGACTCGGCGTTACGGTTGGGGTCTGAGCTCTGCCAGGGGGCACAGGCAGACTACAGCACCACAGCCCAGGGAGGCAGCAGGCCAGAACCTCCTGTGAGTACAGTCTCCCTGGGAACTCAGAACTAGAGTGCTGTACTTTTTAAAGAGCAAATCAACATATGACAGCAATCTCGGTATTAAACTGGAATATTACTTTCCAAACCATACTCTATGTGCAGCTGCAAGACTGCATAATATTATTGCAAGACTGAAATAATAAAGGACATCGCTAGCTGCCTGAACCCCATGATGTCGAACTGCTTAAAGATAAACTGCTTGTTGATAAAGCCAGAGATCAACTGTCATCAGTGCAACTTTTGTAAGCAGACTCTCACTGGTTACTGCAAGGATCCACAGACGTCAGGCATTTAAAGCACCATACAATATAACACAATCCAGAAAGTATTCGTACATCTCTCCAATCCACAAGAAGACGAGATCAATGCTGCTTTCTGAACTGCACTAAAGAAAGTTCCAAACGTTGCTTCTCTGACATCACAGTGCACTGATTCTTGATATCTTTCCTGATCTCCAGTTAGGCTTAGAAAGAAAAGAAACGTAGCACTCCGTTACTGAGTGTACTGTATGTGTCAAGAGAAATCAGCCATGCAGGACTGTGTGCCGATTTCATGATTGACTTTGTTGCATAAGCACTAATAAACTCACATTAGTGGGAGAGCTGAGCAGAAACAGGTCAAGGGGTGATCCCAACCCACCGATTGTGAAGAAAGAAAATTACAGAAAGGAACTGCAACACCCCAGTTATAAAAAGAACCTCTATATATTGAGGCGCCTTTACATCCTCATGCTGCGTGTGAAACATGGGCTTTCTGGCAAGATGAGAATAGGACATGGTGTCTTGTGTGTATTCTACTGGCCTGAGCCCCACTGGATGAGGTAGGGAGACCTGAGGCATTTGGAGGCCCATGGACAGACACAAGCTCACAGGGTCTATGAGGGGAAAAGGGCAAAATCCAATTGCAATGTATTGCAGAGAACGAATCCCAGATGTACAGCTTGTACTGTTTCCAGCTGTGGCTCGAGACACTATTACACTGTGACCTAACACAAGACCAAATGGTGATCAATTCTACTGAAAGCAAATTGTTAATTATGGCACTTCTGTTCACTGAAATCTCAGTACTCCAGCTACTAAAAAGAAACTGCTAACTTTGTCAATATATTGCATATATAAGTCATGACTCTGCTGAATATCAGTTTATACAAACAGCAGGCTCTTGCAACAAATGAATCTGATAATCACAATTGAAAGTGTTTATTTTGGTAATACTTTCAAATACTGGCCAAACCAGTCTGGACTCCTTATGGATCTGGGACTGTTAATCAACATTTGGTACACGAATAACTTCATAAACCAGAGGAAGCAAGTAGCCTATGAGATATATTCAAAAAATAATTAGGGGGTTACAGTCCTCGTTTTAAAGGTTTAGCAATGTCAGCTGCTACCTGCTCAAAGTCTAGCAATGTCAGCTATTTGTCGTTTTTATCCCAATCACACCTAGAAGATTTGGAACTGAACACAAAGGGCGTTTCGGTAAGATGCGTCCATTTGACGCTTTCTCGAATACTGTCGCAACTAGTCTTCAAAGGTAAACAGATTGAAACCTCCATATGATCAACATTTACATATAGCTCAAGTCACCATGATAACTGTAATTATATCTTCCGCACTAGTCTTCAAAGACTTTTTCTGCAAAAAGGGGGTTTATGAATTACGAGCGACACATGCCTATGGGTGCCTTTTCTCACAGTTTGTTTCTGCGGTAATTTTTCCCTTCCTGCTCTTAAATCTCCACAGCCGGAAGCATGGCACACAAAGTAGCGACCATGCTGCCAGTCAAGGTCAGCTGCTGGAGCGGAGGAAGTTTCTGGTAGCCGAAGAGAGCGCACCTGCGATCTAAGATCAACACGAAAAGTGCTGCTTCTTGCATGAAGTACGTACGTCGAACAGAAAATATATATATGCAATTTACGATCATGTCATCCAGAGGTACTTTGTGTCACGCCGTTACGTCTCTTTCGTAATGCCGGTAGAGACGTCAAGGGAAGCACGCGTGTAGTCTAGACAGATCACACATTTCACTACAATATTGACAACGCAATGAAAGAAATACGCTAGCTGTTAATTACACAGCCCCCAAACCCTGCGCAACTGTAATCTACATTGCAAGAGTTCAGGATATAGGCATTCCGGCTCGTCTCATTACCTGCTAATGCTCTCAATGTCAGGACGTGGCCGGGCCCTCCGCCGCCCCCGGGACGATACTGCGATGCACTCAAGGCAGGAACGGGACGCAATGTCTCCGTATGGGCGCGGGCGAACCGCGAGCAGCCCCGACGCTGCCCGGCGGAGACGGCCACGAAGATCCAGCGTGAGGAGCACCGGACCGCAGGAGACGCCATCATCATGTACCAGGACTGACAGAGGCAGCGCAAAGCGCATGGCCGGGAAAAGCAACGGGCCGCGCATGCGCGGAGCTGGGCGAGCATGCGCAGTCCAAACGCAGGGGACATTCCCAGCGCGAACATGTCACATGATAGGGGTGAGGGTGGACTTCAGACTCTTCAAGAAAAATAAAAAAAAACGCTTCAATAATTATTTTAAAAACATTAACTACCCCTGGTACATGGTTTTAAACTGTAACGTTAGATTCCATGTATTATTTATTTAATTTTAGAAGGTTGCTAGCTTTTTAAAATCAATGCACTTAAATGTTTTCCTTTCCCCTAAATCAGGTACGAGTTTCCCCAGCAGTGCAGAGACTCATCTCCGACAAATACGTCCAGAGGGGCCCAAAAACAAAAAGAAAACCTTCTCCCCAAGTCGTGTAGTAATATGCAAAATAAACTCCCAGTTGCGAGCTGTGACTGAGAGAGCCTTTAATCCCAAGGGGGCAATTTGTTCAGCATCAGTTGGGCGTCTGCTGGCCACCCGTTTTACACCTCTCAGATTTTTTAAAAGGAGGGTTACTTACAGTAATTAAACATAAACTTTGTTAAATTTAGCAGTATTGTAAAACATCACCACTCGTTTCAAATTGCGCACCATACATGCTAAGTAGCAAGAGAAGTCTGAAATCGCAAGATGCCCCCAGTACAATCTGAGGTTTGCACCAATGTCACTAGCCCGAGGTGGGGGGGATCAGACAAGACAGCATCAGCCGCTCCCGTTCGCATCGATCGCCGAGTGAATCGCTGCAAGAGACAATCGACCGGCACTGTTGTGCTGTCAGTGCAGCTGCTGAGCGTGTGTGCGCGTCTGCAGAGACGGGGAAGGAGTGGGACAGATAGCAAACGGGTCACTGGCGTTGAGCAGGACGGCGAAGGAGAAAGGAGAAGAATGAACCGCTTCAAAATCTCCAAATTCAAGAACACCACCCCAAAAATCCCCAAGAAAGACGTAAGTCGGCGAGGGTTGGGTTTTGCAGTGAATGGGGGGAGAGACGTGTGCTGGCATTTCAACTTCCTGAATACTGCTCTCGCAAAGCTGTCCCGGAGTCATCATTTTTCAAGCACTCGTTCAAATTCAGATTGAAATGTACGCTGGTTTTAGAAGAAGGCTTCCAGACGGCCGCTTGCACTGCAGGTTTTAATTAAAGGATGGGATTCGCCTCTTTTTATTTTTCCGTCTGTGCATTAGAGTTTTTTTTTTTGCTCTAATTTGAATGAAGGTTTGGTAAAAACTAAAACCTGGGAGGTTGTAAACGCTCACGTTACACGGAAAAATAATTTCCGTCCAGACGTGATTTGTGTTTTAAATTGCATGTGCAAATAAGACTGCTCTTTAAGAAAACAGAACAACGCTTCATTTCTACCGCGCGGTATGTTTAATCGTTTCTAAAAGTTTAGATAGACTGAAATATTGTTTACAGCTGTGAATGATTTAATGCAAATATATGTAAAACACGATGCTCAATTACCTCGACTTTTTTTTTAAAAGTCATACCAGGATGTGTGTTAAGGTAGCGTGCATGAACAAGCTGTGCTCGGAGCGAACCTGAATTTATTAATTACTGTTCTAGCCTTGACAAGCACGATAGAAAGTCAAAATAATCGTAATTCGCCCATTCTGCCATTTGCTACCCTATCGCGCTCTTCCTGGTGTGTAAAATCTAATGAGTAGCTACTAGGTCAGCTCCGACGCAATCCAAATGTTTTGCATAATTTTCAAAGAAAGTGGTTGATTCATTGTTGATCTGTTTACGGGGAGGGAATTCATCTACAGATACGTCTGTGCAATAGAGTGTCGACTTCAACTTTTTGACGAGAGAGGTTATCTTCCTAGCGACCTTCACACGTGCTGGAATATAGGCTCTGCTGAAGGTGTGAAATGATCCCGGGCACGACTCTGTTCCGTGCGTGGGCACAGCGAGATCACTTGCACTGTAGGTAATTTCTAGCCCCGGGCACAGGAAGTCACCAGTTTCGAGATATTCCTTGGGCGAGGTTTTGTTTTGGCCAGATTGACGGTGAGTGGTGGAATCTGAAGTCAGGAAGGTGTGGCTTTTCCCACGCACAACCGAGATAGACTATATCGCTGTCGTTTCTGATTGACTGGTTTGGAAGCTTTCAGAGGAAGCCTCACCTGGAGTGCATTGCAGGCACACGTGTTCCACTTTGTGCTTGTGAATTCCACCGCACGTTTCTACTCAAGAGTAAAACCGAGGTGCTCTTCTAAAGCCGATGAGTTTTAGATACGGGGAGTCCTCAGTCGTGGAAAACTTCTTCTTGAAGCATCCATCCATATATCAGGACAGGGTTATTAATTGGTATAATGTAGGGTGGGGGAGGGTCCGAATATCGTTGTGTAATAGCGACCCCTGTGGTTGGAAGGAGGGAGCTGCAGGACTGAGCTGCATTAAAACGGGCTAAGAACTAATTCCCACTTATACTAGGCTTTACTACTTTGCAAACGTAGTTCACCTTTGAATGTCTCAAACCTTTGAAGCTTATATTGTGGACCTATCCCATTATGATGTTTTAAGCCAATGGTATGAATGAGACCCAATGATTTTGCATTGGTAACGTGCTGGAGGATGCCGGACTTTTTAACCATGTCTCCTTTCTTTCTGTAAATTGAGTTGAAGAGCTTATTGGTAAATATCTCCAGTTTTCATAGACAGCCCTGAGGCAGAGACTGAACAACGGTTGTTGATCTACCAAAACGTGTATGAAAGAAGCGGACACCTGAGGAAGGCTCCACAGTCGAAACACGGCGTCTCTTTTCTTTTCCTTTCAGCCTGGAATAAACCTCTCCCTGCTCCTCTGCCGCCTTTGCATGCTGCTGCAGCTGCTTACTAAAAGAAGTCACACACTTCTGCCTCTGGTTTTCATCACGCGCCCTGCTGTTAAAGTTTAATTGAATTAACTGTTTTGACGGGCCGTCAGGCGTGATGGTTTTCCAGTCTGTCCAACAGTGATGCTTTGTCTCCTGTCCAGTCTGCACGCAGAGGCTAAGATTCATATTCAGTGGAAGTGTCCCCTGCTTACCCACAGGGAACAAAAAAATCCTTCAGGGATTTCCTGTTCCAGGTGGGACTGACAGATAACATCTATTTCAGTGCTCTGCTGTCCGTGCTCTCTTCTGCTAAGAACCTCAGCGTCCGTCTTCAGCCCCGGCCTCTCCCACCCAACACGTTTCTCTGGGATGATCTTGTCTTCTTCCCTCTTGAGCAGCAGTCTCAAGACCCCTCCTTACTGGCTGTCCCACACAGCTGTTCACCCAGGCCCTGGTGCTGTGCTTTTGAAGATGGTTTCTCGTTTGAGGTTTTTTGCATCTGCAGGGTCTGTTAAATCCTACCACAAGAACACAAATAAGGTGGAGACTGTTTAGTTCACAGAATGGACTATTAGTAGCTGCGACAGCTATGTTCTGTTGTGGTTCTGTCTGTGTAAGGCTCAGAAAGTTGAGGAGTGACATTTCTTGGTATAGCCAAGGGTTCTAGTAATAGGGGTGACACATTTTTAAAATATCGTCTTGGGATGTGCTGTTGCCTTTGGTGTACATCCCTCAGAAAGGATGGGATTCCACTCTGTTTACAGAAAGAGCAGCACGGTTACTACAGTCAAATGCAATGAGAAAGGGGTTCAGCTCTGTCCTGTTTAGAGATGATTAACAAGGCAATATATTACTCCCCTTCAGTTTGCCCGTGCTATTATGACGCACAAGTGTGGGCTAACCTATCTTTTTGTATATTTTTGGAGTGGAATTTCAGACTTATTTCTTTGTGTTCCAGGACAGAGTCAGTCCCCGCCCTGTTGTTCGTAGGGCACAAATACATTGGCTGTATGTCGCCTTTACAGAGGCTGGTACAATAGTGTTGATTTGTGGATTACAGTGATTTGTTTGTAGAGGCTGTTGGCATTCAGTCACATGTGTGGGAGCTGCTGTACTGCAGCCTCTGGCAAAGATGTAGATTTGTAATTGCGTTAAGAGCCTCTTGCAAGAAAGCTGCGCCTCAGAACAATGTGAGCACATCTCTTGCCTAGAAATTTAGCGGAGGAGTTAGTTTTCAGCGTTTTCCAGCTGCCACTTGAGCCGGATTTCCGGGATGGTCCTACTTTCCTTGTCCCCTGAGGCATGTGTAGCCGCAGCCAGTGTAGCTGTGCCGGTCCAGAACATCAGTGGCCTCCAATGACACCCCAAAACCAGGGAGATGCACAGACTCGCCAAAACCACCATCTTCATATCTGGTCCTGGAGACCTGCAGGTTTTTTTTAGGTAACTAAAAATGCTCCGTAACTAAAGGTTTGGAAACCCAGGTAAGTTGGATCAGATAATTCAATAACTGATTCGATAAACTCATTAAGAGCGCAGGTGGATTGAAAAGCAGCAGGGCCTGCAGGTGTCCAGGTTGAGGAGTGAGTGTCACAGGACTAATACAGTCCAGTCGTGAGGAGTGTCCACTGTGTGAGCAGAGGTCATCCCTGCAGCACAGGAAGCTAGAAATCCCCCTGTAGAGCCCAGATGCTTTTGAATAAATGTCCTCAACCACTGGAAACTCCCTGTTTCACCATGGGCTCCCTTACAAGCTATAGCTCAGGGGTTCGCAGACCTGCTCTGGCAAGTGTGTCCAGTTAAACAATAATTAGCTCATGCAGTGTGGACTGTAAACCTAGCGACACAACGTCCCTCCGGGACCAGCACAGGGATTCCCTGCTCAGGATAAAAGCCTGGATGGAAGTTCGTATTCTGATTGAGCCACTGGGGAATCTTGGACACGTTTTTAAATGATTTGCAGCGCAGTGCCAGAGTTTCGGAGACTTCCACAGCATTGTGCACATCACTGTAGTACAGGGCGAGCTGCCAAGCTGAGTCCATTGCAGCCACTCTCCAGAATCCCTCTGTCTCCAGCCAGCTGTGGAGCAAATAGAAGCAAAGAGCTCACAGCCAAAAAGAAGTAAACTGGCCCTGGCAGCAAATGCAGTCTATCTTTGGGCTGTGGGCACTGTGCATTCCCCAGCAGGTTATTTCTTGTTTAACTGTAGAAAATGCTTTATAAATTCACTGTGAGACTTCCCGTTACTAGAACAACTGTGCTGTATTTTTAAGGCCTCCTTCTGTTTGGTCATACAAAGGCTTTACAGAAATGGAGGCTGTGCTGTGTCTGTTTCAGGATGCCTGTTGGCAGCTGTGACACAAATCAGTCACCTGCCGGTGATCAATAATAGCCCCACGACGCTAAGAGCCCCTCCGGTTGGCATGGAGCCCTCAAGGCCCTGGCTCCTCAGCAGGCGCGCTCCGCACGGGGCGCGCCGCAGGGCTCCACTTCCTCTATTGCCGCTGAGCCGAGGAGCGGCTGAGGCTGCGTTCGCTCTCTGCTTCCTGTCGAGGTGCGGCCGCCCCCCCCC